TGGCCCGACAATTACGGCTATAGTTGATGATGATGTTAATCACAGCCACAGAGGAAATAAAAACAGGGGGAGTGACGAAGAGGATATCTGTGCGAATGATAGGGAGAGCTTTCAACATACTAATAGAAGAGAGGAGGAGCAAGGCAATGGATGGGATGTGCAGGAAGTGGAAGCTAATGGCGGTGAGGACAGAATTAATGTGGATCCAGCACCACAAACAGCACCAGAAGAGCAACTTGGCAGGGGACATCGACATCGCACACCGTCTGTTTTATTAAAGCCCTATGTAACCTACACTGCTCGATGCCTGAAAGACCTCATTCGCACTCAAGCCAACTCTGAATCAAAGTCCTCAGGTATGACTCCCTATCCCATAGCAAATTATGTGACATGTACTGACTTCTCCGCTAAACATCAAGCTTTCTTAGCTGCAGTCACGGAGCCGAGCCTACCAGTTTTTCTGAGGCAGTAAAAAGTGAGAAATGGAGAGAAGCTATGAGGAAGGAAATTCAGGCTCTGGAGGATAATGATACATGGACATTGGAATCTCTACCTCCCGGAAAAAAGGCCATAGGGAGTAAATGGGTCTATAAGATCAAATATAATTCAGATGGGATGATTGAACGGTATAAGGCACGCCTAGTTATTCTCAGGAATAGACAGGTTGAAGGATTGGATTACAATGAGACTTTTGCTCCTGTGGCCAAACTGACAACAGTTCGAACCTTCTTAGCTGTGGCAGCCGCTAGGAATTGGGAGTTGCATCAGATGGATGTACATAATGCTTTCTTACATGGGGATTTGAATGAGGAAGTATACTTGCAGTTGACGCCAGGATTTAAATCTAAGGATCGAACAAAAGTGTGCAAACTGAAGAAATCTCTCTATGGACTGCGTCAAGCTCCCAGATGTTGGTTCTCAAAGTTAACAACGACCTTGATACAGTTTGGGTTTGCTCAAACGTATCCTGACTACTCTTTGTTCACCTATTGCAAACACAATGTTCGTTTGCACGTGCTGATATATATTGATGACCTGATTATTGGGGGAAATGATACTACTGCCATTGTGAAATTCAAAGAGTATCTCCATCGGTGCTTCCGTATGAAAGACCTGGGCCCACTCAAATATTTCCTAGGGATTGAAGTAGCTCGTGGCCCTGAGGGAATATTGTCACAACGGAAGTATTCCCTAGACATCATCTCCGAATGTGGACTCATGGGAGCCAAACCAACATCCGTGCCCATTGAACAGAATCATCATCTTGCGTTGGCAAAGGGCACTCTCATGGAGAATCCAAATCAGTATCGACGGTTAGTGGGACGGTTGATCTACTTGACTATTACATGGCCTAAGTTGTGTTATTGTGTTCATATCCTAGCTCAGTTCATGCAAAGTCCACGATAAGAACATTGGGATGCAGCTCTGCGCGTAGTACGTTATATGAAAGGATATCCAGGACAAGGTCTATTGTACCGATCTGATAGCGATCTGCGTCTATGTGCCTATTGTGACTCTGATTGGGCAAGCTGCCCATTGACACGACGATCGCTGACTGGCTATTTTGTTCTGCTGGGGCAGTCACCAGTTTCTTGGAAAATGAAAAAACAACATACCGTGTCGCGCTCCTCTGCAGAAGCTGAATATCGTTCAATGGCTATGACAAGCTGTGAGATGAAGTGGATGAAGAAACTTGTTTTGTCCTTTGGGGTGGCGCATGATGAACCCGCGCGTTTGTATTGTGACAATTAGGCAACTTTGTACATAGCCGCAAATCCAGTGTTCCACGAGCGGACAAAGCATATTGAGGTCGACTATCATTTTGTTCGCGATGAGCTACGGCGTGGGAACATTGTTACTTGCCATGTTCGAACCACAGAGCAGTTGGCTGATATCCTGACAAAGGCTCTGGGAAAAGAGAAATTCGCATATTTCCTTGGCAAATTGGGCATCCGGAATCTACATGCGCCAATTTGAGGGGGAGTATTGGGAAACCAGATCTGCACGTAACCTTCCTATCGAAACGCAACCTTCGATGGGTGCTCTGTATTCCTAGATGTATTTAAACAATCAACTCCTAGTGAAAATGAGGCTCCTATTTGTATATATAGAGATGTACCTTTCAAAATAAGGGGACAAGAAGAAGAAGAATTTCCGCAAAGTTTTCACACATTTTCACCCCACAACACATCCCTGCCGTGTATTGGGAACATCAAAACGATGATATCATCAACGGGAAATGTTTCTATACTGTGGAAAGTTGTGGGGCGGAGCTGATTTTCATACGTAGCTGCAACAAGTAGGCGATTCCTCGCCCACATCCACCACTGGTTCAATTGCTGCGATGAAAAACGAGGTAGACGTGTTATTTACCACGTAAGAAGAAAAAAAAGACACTCCTACGTTTCAAATGACAAGCACCGACGCTAGGTTAAAGAGAATCAAGCACCTGCTCCTGCCTGAGGTTGATAGTTTAAAGAAATTTGCCCCGAGCCTATGACAGCATTCAATGGGTCCCAGTCTCATCCAAGACAGCTGGGTTACTGTCTATTTTATGAAATAGAAAATAGTATAATTGTGGTCTGGACTGGTGGGCCTCTGCTTCTGAGTCCCCTAAATCCATAACCCACCTGCCCACCTCACTACTTGTTGCCAATATTCATAGCTAGAAGGAGAAAAAGGAATTAAAAACAAAGGCCACACCACATTATCTTTCGCCGTCAGTTTTTAGGCATTGCTTTCTAGTTTTCAAGAGTTTTTAGGCTCGAGAGCAACAAAAGTCAATAAGATATTATGCATGTCGACACGCCTCCATATTGGATGGGCCTTGCTTTTGAATGTGCTACTGGAATCTAATCCACATTCTTGTTTCAAGTTGATTTTTTTTTTTAATTATATCTATGCATATTTTAATTATTCAATGCATCGAGTCATTCACATCTCAGATAAATTAATTAAAATATGTTTTTATTGTGTGTATATGCGCGGTAGGGGTGTCAATTGAACTGGATTTGATCCAATCCCACCCAGTCCAACGTGAGTCCATTATAAATAGACCAGGTCCAATTTAATAAATGTTTTGGATCAATTTGGACCGATCCAATTCAATATTTATTGTCTAGACTATTTAATCTGTTCAAATTCATCTTGATTTAGATTGATTCCAACCCAAACCCGGTCCATTGACACATATATTCTTATCTTATATTAATGGACTAGATATTGGCTTAATCCAACCCAATCCAATATGTCTTGTTAATCCGTCCAAATTGATTTTGGACTGGACGGGGTCCAATCCAAAACCGGTCCATTGAYACCCTTATATATGCCTTACTCATAATCATCAGAGACTTTTACATGAGCTTTCCTTTAGTATTGTCTACTGATTGTTGCAAGCATAATATGCATGCTTGATCAATCCCTTTGTGATATTTTGTTCTCTTTCTCCTATGTGATACAAAATTTGTACTTTTTGCTTTATTTGCACTCATTGTCAATGCAAACTTTGAATGTCAAAAACTGTTCAAATTTTGTATTATTTTCCTATTTCAAATCTCTCTTATGAAGTAATGATCACACCATCTTTCTTCCTACCTCACTTCCAAGTCCCAAACAAATAACCCTCTTCCTACCTCTAAAGCAGAATTTGCATTTAGTCTATTTGCACTACTCACATGCATTTGTTACAATGCATATGAAATTCGTACTGCAAACTAATGATTTCAAAATTGGTTTCATGAACTGGTCATTTGACCGGTTCCATTTTACCCCAGAACCGTCTTTTGACCAAAAATCATTGATTTGATCAGCAAATCACTGACCCGGGTGTTTGAGCCATTCAAACTGTCCAACAGCTTTTGACCGTTTTTAATTTTTAATTTTTTGTCAAAACAGAACATCCATTCAATTCGAATGATCGGACCATTCAACCCAGAAAACGGACCCTCAACGGTTTATTGTCCGATTCGGTTTAAAAAACCTTGCTGCAATCAAAGAGAGCCTTTTAGTGCCAATTATGGACTTGCCCAAAAGCACAATCCCTTAACAACAAGGAATTCAATGGTGGGTTACGGGGATCTTCATAATTTTTCAATTTTAGGTGCAAGCAAAATCTCTGTTCTTCTGTGTTACGGTGTCTGTCGGTGCTGTTAGATTGTAGGGTAACTGATATTGGAGGGTGACCCCAAGTGCCCGATTAGCACTTGGGAGTTGGGAGTTGGGACCGATTAGCACCACTGACAGTGTCAGTGTTTAGCCGAAAAAAAAAGGGGAAAACTAGACATATGTTCACAAGAGTTCATTAAAGTACCAACATTCAACATTCTCCCCAACCTCCCAACAATGGAAAAAAAAAGAGCCCAAAGTAACTCGAGGAAGTTACTGATTATCAAGCGTGAACAGAGCCAATGCATCAATCAAACTAGATGCCAGGRTCCCTTTCACTCAAGCACAAGTTAAAATACGAAATAAACACAAAAGGCAAAAACCAAATTGAGTAACTGAAAAAGCCTCTTCATGTCTTCCTTCTAAAACCACAACCAGCAATTGATGTGAGGACAAAATCCAGAGTGAGTCAAATTCACTAGCTGTCAAGGTTCTGCATGTCATACCACACCTCACCCTCCCTATAAGCTTCTGGACAATGCTCTAAAGGCCCATGGCCATGTGAGTGGAGAGGTCCGTCCATATCCCACATCCAGCCATACTAATGTAACAAGCAGAAGACTAGGAGTGCTGTCCCTCCTACACCTTCATCAATTCTGCTCGAATGTTTGCCCATCAACCCCAATTTTCTGTAGTGTTCGGTCAAATCTGATGGAATGTAAAATTTAATACCTTTTCAAATTTGATTGCACAGAAGCTTTTAAGCCTGTTCTACATGTAAAGCTTGCACCAGTGATCTGATAAAATACCCAGTATTTTGGTAGTCCCATATATTCGGACTCTAGCAAAATTTAACTGTGCAGAATCGCATATTTTCATTGTTTTAGGAGAAGATGAACAATGAAGATGCAATGAACTTTCCAGAATGACATCCAAACACAGTGGAGCGTCCAGATACAAAATATAGCTCATGCTACAACGATACAAAAAAAAGTAAAGAGCAATTGATAACCAGTATGATATTGTCGAAAGATACAGGGGTACAGATTGTATACAATGGCATTCATGAAACTTATACAAAGTAAATGGTATATCGTATACGCACAGGCTGGATCTGTATTGACTGAATCAGACAAATGAGTTCTGCCACTTTACTTTCTTGCTTGCTGTTCATCTACTTTCTTCTTGGCATTCTTGCTTTGTCCACCTTGCCCTGTTGACCTGGGTACCACCTCTATTATCACCTCATTCTGTCACTCGCTTCTCTATCACTCTTTCCTTGACACCATCACGATGTTCATATCCTGCATCCCGCCCAGCTCGACGATCCTGCAATGAATTGTTCATGTTTTTATTAGAAACAGGAACCAAAGATGATTGCAGAGATTATAAAAAGATGATAATAAAAACAAAAAGATCAACATCTTGCTGCTTCTAATTCGATGTGCATGTCCGGGGTAATGACTGCTTAATTATTTTTAGTTCTGAAGTCAATTCGACATGGCTTGGCCACGGCCACCCATGAAAAAGGAAATATTCGAAATTCTGTAAATGGAAAAAATGGGTTTAAAAGGAAAAACACATACATCTCGGAGGTGGAAATCATCTTCGAGCATATGTATCACATGCCCCATCTTTGGCCTTTTCTGTGCGTCTGAGTCCACACAGCGTAATGCCACTAATAGTGCTCGCTTCAATTCCCTGGAAGTAGGTTTCTGAGGTATTTTAGGATCCAATACTCCCTCAGAATTTCGATTAGCAACCATCGTTCTCAGCCACTCAACCAAGTTCACCTGAAAGTTCCAGACACAGGAGTTGCAAAAAAAAAAAAAAGAAAGAAAAATCCATGGAGCACCAGAACCACTTGAAAGATATTCCAAGCAAGTTAATCACTAACCTCTCCTGGAGGTCTACTGTAATCAACAGGATTCCTCCCAGAAATGACCTCCATTAAAAGAATCCCAAAACTATACACATCGCTTCTCTCATTCAACATGCCTGTACTGGCATATTCAGGGGCTACATACCTGGAAAATACAATCAAGAGGTTATCATTTCCTATGCTTGATCCACGCTTATTGAGGTCATCACTTGCAGAGAGAAAGTAACAGTGACTGGGTGAAGATAATCATCATTTAGAGGAAGATTGAAGATTGAAGATTGAAGATTGAATATTGAATATTGAATATTGAACTCACCCAAATGTTCCCATCACACGGGTTGTGACGTAGCTCCTCTCCGAACCCAAGAGCTTAGCAAGCCCGAAATCAGACACCTTTGGGTTCCATTGTTTGTCGAGCAAAATATTGCTTGACTTAATATCGCGATGAACAACCTTGGGTTCAAGTCCCTCATGAAGGTATGTCAAACTAAATTCAGAAATTTAATCATTACCGAGAAGGCAAGAATTAATTTGAAGAGTAGAAGGATCCAAGTTTGAAAGATTTGTACCCATTTGCTGTTCCAAGAACTATGTTCATACGAATTTCCCAAGTAAGAGGACTGTAAGGGCCTACGTCTCCATGGAGCCACTGTTCTAAGTTACCATTATCTACATACTCATAAACAAGAATCCTGGGAAAACACCAACACAGGAAAAACAGGGGTTTTTTTCTTACTTACACAAACATTTAAAAATCATCCATGGAGATAAAATGACCATCGATCAGTTTCTCCAAGCATCAATAGAATAGAAGAGCTAAGTACCTATGAGCTCCTTCAACACAATAACCGAGTAACCTCACTAAATTCTTGTGCCGAACACGTCCAATTGCTTCAACTTCAACCTTGAACTCTCTCTCAGCTTGTCCCCTAATGAAACATAAATACCCAATTAGTCATTTTATCACCTTTAAAGCAAAAAAAAACGGCATGTTCGAATAACCAACCACCACTGAGTGGCTGAGAATACTGCTATTCTACCGCTGTTGAGAAAATGGCTTCTGTCCGAAACAAAAAAAGGATTAGGTTGACAATGGAGTAAAGAGGGGCACCTGTTATTGAGCAAGTTCTTAACAGCAACCTGGCTCTTGTCATCCAAGACGCCACGGTAAACAATGCCATATCCGCCTTCGCCGATCACATTCTCGTCTGCAAAACCATTCGTTGCGTCCTCAAGTTCTCTGAGGGTATACCAGTGGCCCCAACCCAAATGGGAAACCTCGGGGGCTGCCAACGACACCTGATCAACCGAGCGAGCCTCCCCACTCCCATGCGAGGACCCACCACCACGTTCCGGGTAGGAAATTCTATGATCCTTGCCGATCTCAATGTGAATTCTCTGAAGCCCAATTGGGCTGTCTTCCTCCGCAGGGAAGAGCAAGGCTTGGCGCTCAATTGAGCCATTGTGCTCGGATTCGGGTAATGGGTTGGGAGGAAATTGGTGAGTCTTGGCATCTTGCTGATGGTGAATTGTATTCCGGGCATGGTCAATTTTGATTTCTTGAATTTCTTTGGAAACATTAGGGATTGTGAGCTTCTGAGAGGACTTGTGTTTGCAAGTGTTATTCCGTTTCGAGGTGACCCAGAGAGAGATAAGAAAGAGAAGAAGAACGAAGGCAGCTCCAACACATACACCCAGAATGACCCACAAGCGGAGACCAAAGATTGAGGTCCGTTTCGAGAGCTCATCATTCAGAAACGCAGCTTTATAGTCAGACATTCTCTTCTTCAGTTCTTCCCTCTGCAACTCAAGTTCTGCTTTTTAGTTGTTGCATATATACAAGAACGGAGGGATACACCCAGATAAATAGAAGATAATAGGAAAAGAAAGACCAAGAAGAAGAGGAAAGAGTGGCAATGGAGAAGGAAAGTAAAAGTGATGGGTCTGGACTCTGGAGAGAAGAAAAGGAGGTAAGAGAGCGAACAAGGAAGTAGCAGCTGTCTTGATGGGACTTTTGGAATAAGAGGATTTCCCACTAGTTTGTTGTTCTCAATTTTAATGCACTCGTCATAGATTTGTGCACCAACTTCCCAACCCCCATCCCAGAAAAAAAAAAAGAAAAGAAAAAATTTACATAAATAATCAGATATGAAGTCAGCGAACCAGGGTCTCTCTCCGACTCTCTGTAGGTTTATGTTTTCTAATCCTTTATTTTGTTATGATTATTATTAGTTGGTTTTGTTTTGTTTATTTGTGTTTTGTGGCCAATCAGAAAAACTGGAAATACAAAATTAAAGCGGTGCTAGGAGTAGTGGTGTTGTGTTGCCGTTGGATTTGGGGTTGATCAATATAAAATTGTGTGAAAAAAGATTTTTAAACCTAAAACATTTTGAATTGATCAATTACCTAAAAAATTAAATTTAATGGTTTCTAAACACATATTTTTACTAATTAAAATGACACTAGCAGTAGCGGCAATACATATTTCTTACAAATTGATATTGATCAATCTAAACAGCAATCTATTAAAATTATATATAATGGCATACAGTACCACTGTACCAAACAACCCCTTAGCTTAACTTAACAGGTGAAGATATCAAGCATTAAAGTTGGGAACAGGGCTTCTCCTTTCGCTAGTGTATGAGGATTTTTTTGTCAGAATCATGGACTAATGTGTACGAGTCTTCTTCTGCTTTGTTGTTTATATTTGTTTTATTACTTTTTTATGCTTTATTTTTATTATTATATTCAAGCATGAAGACCACCAACTCAAAAAGGATTCGAGAAAAAAAAAAAAAAAAACAAAGGAAAGATAAATATACTTTTGTGTAGGAAAATTTATAAATGGGAATTCAATGTATTTTGCGTGGATGTCGGTGAATCAACATTTTTTATTTATCCTGGCTTAGAAAAACATTTTATTTATCCGTATTCCGTAAGCAGTAGGTAAGGGCCGTAGGCCCATGGCGGATTTTGTGCTGCAAAACCCAAAAAATGGGCCCGTGGTGGGGTGGGCTACATCTTAAGGCCCATTAGTAGTAGATCAGATGTCTGTAAGGCATTAAGCAGGTCGAATCTGTGACTGTATTTGTTGGATCCTGTTCATATAAGAATATATACACAAGTCACTAATTCCAGGTTAGACAGTGCTTTGATCCAGTAAATTTTAGTCACTAATTCGGATTGGATAGCACTTAATGCAAATGTGTCCACCACGAACACGATTTAATCCGGCCTAAGATCAACTTGAATCTTTCTAGTGGTATGGGCCTTGCCTCACGTCCAGACCACCGTATCAAAATTGTAGGCTGCGTTTGGCATACTTTCTGCTTTCATGCTTTCAAATAATTAATTCCGATGAATTTTGTGATTGTAAAGAATTATTTTTTTAAGTTTGATTTTATGAGAACTTACGGAAATTATTTTTTTTCTCTCAGACTCAATCTAATAATTGATTCTTTGAAACTATAAAATTTAGCTTCAAAAATCATTTTTGCGTCAGAATTTATTCTTTTATGAAGCAAAATTGTGAACAAACATATCCTTATTTTCCTTCGCTAGCCACCACGTGACACTGGAGTAGTCTTTATTTACGTGCAGTTACACTACCACTCAACTAATATTCATGTCCAAACAATCACACCATGTGAAAAAAATTTATTACATTTATTTTCTCTTTCTCTCCACTCAATTTTTTGTGGGCTCCCCACTCAATTCATCTCTTCTCTTCCCCTCTGTATGAAAGGCTACTTTTGCTGCAAACACATAAAAATTGGCAATTCTTTTTATTATTATTATTAAGGAATGTGAACTAAAAATCTTGGCAAAAAGGAGAAAAAAAAAAAAACTCTAATGGGAACTTCAGCCCACTAGGTGCTCATTATGTTCAGATTCTTCCCAGCCGCTTTTAAAAGCTTTTACAAATACCAATGGCCTTGTCTTTTGATTGTTATTATTATTGTGAAAAGATTAAAATGACTTTTTTTTTTCTTTCGAATTTGTTCTTTTATACAAAATCAAACTGTCACGGTACATTCATGATTTTTTCTTCTATTTGTATATTATTTAAGTAATCATTTATCTTATCCAATAACATGATTCTAAGAGCTAAGTTTCAATTAAATTAACACAAGTATTAAGAAATAGACCTCCTTTTGTTTTTATTTTTTTATTTTTAGCTGATAAAACAATAAGTAAAATAGAGTTCGCATTAGATTTAGAATTTAATGGGCATAGTTTTTTTTTTTTTTTTGTGTGT